GTGTCGGCAGCTTGGTCCGCGAAGGGCCGCATACTTCCTACAATCATTGATGATAATGAACGTACAATATGTAAATTTACTCACAGTACCGAAAAACAGACAGAGTTCATAACGTTTAGTGTAGTGACTACTATACTCTACTGCGCTTGCGTTCCACAGCCGACGCTAAACGACGACCTTTTTTTCCTCCAAACAAACCGGAATCGAAATATATTAGAATCATCTCGTTGAATAGAAATAAGCTAATGGTCCTACCGTAAAATGCCTTGTAACATTAACTCGGTTAGGCTCACTTCACCTATTTATGAATGGTCTCGCGTGGTCCACTGAATGGAGGGAAAAATGTAGAAGTTTTAGCAGTTTCGTCAACATAATACCTCATTGTCATTCTATAACATAGTATTTCGATACCAACAAACAAAAAAAGAAAACACGGAAAACGTTTGTTGTTAAATTTTAAAACGATTCATTTTAATAATTATGACATTGAGTGGTATTGATGACTCTAAATACAGCCAAAGATCGAATCATAGGAAACGCGAACAGAACGGTGCCAACAGCAGTTGCCGATTGACGAGGAGCTGTACTTGTGCCATGCAGAGGGTAGATGTTGCATATTATTCGAGGCATTCCTGCATCCTAGTTTCAACTAATAGACAATTTTATGGGACACATGTTTATTACAGCACAGAAATGGCATAGTCGATCTTCATCGCTAAATAGATTTCTGAGTTTACGGGGGATTGCACTTGGAGGTGGTGTGTGTTTGTTTCATTGTGAGAAAGGTTCACTTCATTCGGACGTCGTTGGGACTGAGGTCTTCTAATAGCAACGCTTAGCAAAAATTTTCATTTTTATTCGATTTGTCTTCCATTCCAAAACGACGTAGGTTAAATCATTTTAGGTTTCTCCGTCTGTTTGCTTCTAAATTCTACTGGCCTTCATGGTAACCATTGGCTCCGGACTGGCTTATTAGAATGACTCGCTCACGGAGGATGAATAGTCGAAATCTCGGTGGAGGTTCCACGGCGAGAACTTTAAAGAATCGTCGCAAACAGAAAAGGCCGTGTAGATCCGACATATCGAAACAAATTCTCCCCACAAGGACGGTAACATAGTGTGGACGGAAGAGTCGATAGGCTTCAATTGGCACATCCTTTCCCGTAATTAGAACGGTCAAACTCTAGACAGAGTTGGTTCGGTATTCTGCCCGTTAATTGGCGATAAGCACTCGAAGTCCAGCCTTGAGAGCAACGCTTGTCTCGAGGTTATCAAGCATCCACAGAAAAAGCATTACAAAAATAACTATTACAGCCATCCCGTTGCTTTTAAATTTGTTTTATTAAAAAAAAATCAATTGTTGGGAACAACCCGACTGACTTCCGTTCTTTAGAGCCAACTCTGCTAAACTACGCTATCTAGCAAGTGGTCTTTTCCAGCTGAAATAGCGACGAAGCGCCACAATATCTTTATTCTAGTGACGTTACACTTACAAGAAATTTTATCGCAACTTAATGAAGTTAGTTGGTCATTTGCTAGCACAGTCCATAATTAGTAATCCACACTGTTAGTTAAAGTTACTTCACATTACACAAGTTGTTCGTCACATTCGTAAATATATAATATAATTCAGGCGATGTCCATTACACGAACAAGTTGCCCTCACACGTAATTCCCGTTATGAGACGTTGAAATGAATTCGCTTCGCTTTCAAAATGCCTTTAGTCTATGACTTGATAGGTGGCATCCACGTTCACAGGCGTTTCTGACCGTCGCTCTTTTCGATTACGTCCGTCCAACGACTGCTCCGCCTCGTCCGTCTCGCGCACTTCGCGCGATGTCTGTACTTCACGCCGTTCGTTCGTTTACCAGAGCTGTTTGCGGCTTAGCTTCTGCCGTCGGACTGACTCTATGTAGCACGTCCGCGTGAGTCTGTATCTTTGTTTGTGTATGTTCTTGCCGTTTGTCGGGCGCGAAATGCGCGTTACATAAGAAGCGTGGAAAGGGAACGCTGGTGAATACACCTTTGCAGCTTCATCCGTACGAGAGGGGCGGTAATACGGGCTTAAGAAGTGGTAGGGATTAATACGAACGTGAAAACAAGATGCATTTACTATCAAACAGGGCTAATTAATTAGGAAGTATGAAAATGTAGCAAAATCCACCATCTGACGATCCGTTAAGTAAACATTTCTCTCTAAATCCTATTACAATATTATATAATATGTTGTCCAGACCTCGTCTGGTGTTTTAAATTATTTTTTTTTTTGCTTATTTAAACAATTTTTTAAACTATAAACTTGACTAAGTGAAGATAGATAGGATAAGCCGCATCAACACTATCGATCGACCACTTCAATGGGTGATGATGAGCCCAGTCCTAAAATGGTAGGCTAACTGGAGCCAAATGAGTAGGACGAAAAAAGACGAGTTTACATCTTTTGGACAATTCTTCGTATCTACTGATAAATCAGTGAATACCCAATCCGGGTAACCCCCACACGTTGAACGCGTCACTTCGGTTTCAGTCTACATAGATGCAGCGAATGCCTGTACACGCTAATGCGCATGTCAAGTAAAGCGATATATACATACGTTATAGGATTAATGAAACACAGGAACCATCTTTACTGACCATATTCAGAGCTGGTGACACGTAGCTATTCCAAATGAGCACATCCTCAACCAATAAAAGAAGGAAGGTAAGAGGTCACCTCGTGGATCCCAAAAAGCTCACAAATCTAAATACTTGCCTCACGAAGATATGGGCGAAATACGTACTCTCAACGAGACGCCAAAGCTTACGTGGATAAGAGAGTGTTTACTCAGTTGGGCAATAGTTAAGGTGAGAGTACATTTCTGCTTTGTGTAGCAAGAGACACGTATCGGAACTCAATCAGAGATAAGATACGAGCTGTATGACAATAGAAAGACACTCTACCATGACGCCCCCGTGTTAATTACCTGCACTATCGACTGTATGCGTACTATATGTAATGGTGGCCATCGCGCAATCGGAATATGCGCTGTATTTGATTCTGTAATAGCCCATATGTATGTTCCTTTCAGCATTTCCCCTTTATACTGAAGCATGTGGAGAGCTATTCGTGTACAACATGCACGATGGAAGATATTGATCATAGATTTTTTGAGTGCAGCTATAGGGATCAATAAGGAGACGGCCTACAATTCTGTGATCAGCCAAGTGGTATAGAATTTTTAATATATGTTAGCCGATGCGTAGCTCTCATAGGCTGTTTCTGCATCGACTACTCTAGCTTTCAGGATAGCTTTTAATGGCTGTCTACTTAAGCTTACATAGAGGATACGAGTGAAAATATAAAATGGCCAGACTCGTCGGCCGTAATAGAGTAGATATAACACGGAATACTCGCACAGTGTACTCTATAACTTGTTTTTATTACTTTGGCTCACAATAAAAAGTTTTGAATCGTTGCACTCATGTTAAACGGAACTGTATCATCACCTAATGAAGAGTTACGAGTCGAGGCGGCCACTGTTACCAATCGGCCGATTGGCGATATCAAATAGAGGCCAACCAGCTAGCCAGCCAGCCATCCACTCCACATTGATCATTACGAAGCTAAACAACTATAGTAGTGTGTGTTTGTTTGTAACGATAACTCAATGTTAAAATTCGCTAGAAACTATAGTGCCGTGAATACCTTTAAAAATTAGGCATCATAATCACGAATCATGCTTTCGAGACGTTATTCCGCTTTCGGCCATAGGGATTATGTGCTACAAATATACGCATACGTATAATTGAATATCTTACGTGGAGGTGTACGTACTTTATATCTATACATATACCCTCGTATGTTCGCATGCTTACAGGGTTTTCACCTAAGGAACACACCTTCCGGTACCCGCAGCCCGTAAAGAAGACGTACAAATAAGTACAATAAGCGCAGGGATTAGATATTCCTTTAAAGCGACCAGTGCATACGATGCTCAATTATATTCGTATAGGTTTGCTTGCTTGTTCGTTAACTAATAGTTATTGCGGTTAAGCGGCTGGACGCCTATTTGTCTATCAAGCTTAGCAATGATTCTAGTCTGCTTGATTTTTCACGACTGGGTCGCAAAGCATGCCCGTCTGCCGAAATATACAGGCAATTCTAACACCAATGCAGCCCAATGTCGCTTAGCTCAAAAGTGCGCAAGAGCAATCTGCATAAACCCTGCATTGAGTTATCTATCAGATGCGTATAAATGTATTTTTGTTTCAAGTAGTAACAAAAAAAACAACTGGCTAAACGCCAAAGCTGTCGCCGTTGACACGCACGATAACTGTGTTCGACTACATAGACGTTTATCCCATTTTCGACGTTAAGAAGCGCTTGAGACGTCAGGCTTCTTACAACTCCTCTGTGAAGTCATTTTCTTTCTAGGGACAGAGCTCCTTTCTTTTTTCTCAATTATTTCTGAGATGAGCGTAAACCGTCATACCGTTCTGTGACAGACCATATACTTTTTAGGCTTATCATAGAAATAAATAAATGTTTCGTTTGATCGCCGAGCTTGAACACGCCTGATCTTTGGATCAGGATAGAATGTCTGTTGTTTCCAGAGCCCTATTATAGTAATATAATAATAATAAATAATCTAACCATATTAGCACTTGTATTTAGGCATGTACTCTATCGTAAGCTCTTTAACACCGACACTCAAATTTAGAAAAAGGCTCCAGTAAATAGTTATTTAATAAGCACCTCTGAAACACCCCAACCTTGTCTGAAATATGGCAAGCATACCGGATAGTCGTACTAGTTGCAAAAATGGATGTTTCGCCTTAAATAATAAAGAAAAATTAAGAGGTTGAAACCTGTTTATCGAATTGCTTACCCACCGACTTACGTATTGTGTGACCTGTCAATTTTTGATTATTCAGCTTTAATGAAGTTGCACGTTGGGGAATCGCATATATACGGATTCGTTTGTCAATAAAAGATGTTGAAGAGTGCCATGATACTCACCCTTCTAGTTTCAATTTCTAGGAGTTCTTTCTTCTTCCGTCGTTGTTCGTCACCCCAAACAACTTCGCATACCTCTTGACCGTCATTTTTAGCGGCGGCCCCATCGTAGAGGCGGCGCACGCACTCCGGTCGAGTTTCGCGTAAAAAAATGTTTGTCGTCATCGGCTGTGGGCTACGGAAATGCGTCTTCTGCTGGCTGAACCATGTGAGGTCCGCTTGAGCTGAAATTACGAAAATCGCGTAGAGATTATTATTTTGATCTTCACAATTATTGTTATTGTGTTGCTATGAGTCCTACTCAGCAATGTTTTGACGCTTAGCGACCTCAAATAAATGCTAAAATAAGCGACTCGTTTGACCCTATCGATAACGGAGGTTTTACCTTGGAAGATAAAGGTCTTTTTATCTTGTTAACATTGCTTATATTACATGTTTCAGTATACAGCGACTGTGATGTAATATATGAGGTTCCTTATTTGAAGTCGTAATTAGATAAGTTGATGTTATTTGGATTGAAATACGTGAAAGTGGAATGAGCTCGCTGTCAACTGTCGATAGGTTTGAGGTCCTATATGGACGGAGCTAGTAAGAGATATAATGATTAGGTCTCCTAAATTATTCAGTTCATAGAAATCCAGGTTGTTTAAGATTCAGCGGCTATTTTTTTAAATTTCCATATTTAAATATAGTTCAAAAAATAAATCAGGCGGTTACCACATGACCAGCATGGCTTACTCAGTCAAAACTTGTGCTCTGTTAGACACATTTGTTGCATGTGAATTGGCCCAGACACAAATGGCAAAGCTACGTAGAACTAGATTTGCCTTCATTGTAGTCCAGGCGTCATTCTGAACTATGATCACTAATGCTCCCTTTTTTTGATATTCAGGATCATCCTGGTCGCGATTGCGAGTAAACGGGCGTCGCTTTGAAGCCTCTAGATTTCGATCTCGTCGGTTATCATAAAACACATAATTTTGGCGTGTTCATCCTGAAGGCTGTCAATCCAACGATTTCACAGAAGTAGTAGCTGCATCGTCGCCATCCCCGCATGCACTACGGACAACTGCTACTCGGGTTTCTTCCCAAAACTGCCATTCGCGAGCTCTTTAAATTTTCCAACTTCATCTAGATGCAGCATGAAAGTCGAAGTGAGGAGGGACGATATAGTCCAGACGTGAAGTATGGCAAAACTGGTTAAACATCAGGCATGGCCAGCATCCTGCGATATCCTACCCGTTTGACTCAAACCGTAGGCCGATGTCTCTCTAGGGCGCTCTCGCCGTTCACAGATATTGGCTGGTTCGTTTACTCTTTTTCTTTCCATCGTAACATCTCTTATTCCACCTCTCGCTTCCTTGGTTGTCCAACCGACCGTGCTTCCCCACCGAAGGCTCCTGTTACGTAGCATCTCTTCACAACTAGCTGCTGCCTTCATGGCTTCGTTTTTCTACACGATCCCAAATGACTCTAGCAAGTGCTACGAAGCTTTTACCCAGACAACCTTTTCCCGTTTCATCGAAAATTGGAGACGAAAAAAGGAAAAGGCAGGAACGCTCGTCCTTATCCGGGGTCGGTCAACCCGAGGATTTGTATCCCAGGGCCTCCTTGGTCATAGGCTTCAGGCCACATCAATGCCAGCCCTTGTAGGCTCCTGAATGCTGCTACGTTGCTCTCGTTATTCCTTCGCACTGACAGCCGCCGTAACTACCAGTGCCTCTAGCGTCATTTCGCAACGCTGTTCAACAAAACGTCTCCCAAAAAATTTTGCCTCCTTCTTCCCTTTCTCTCCAGCAATAAGGGGCTACAGAGAAAAAGTGCCAAGCAGACACGCGTTGAACTCGAAGCCAGTCCACCAAATGCACACTCATTGTAGAGTTTTTTGGTGCATAAGCGTTCCGAAGGGCGGCCCTCTAGGGTGACTTCTTTTCTATCGTGTCCTCTCCTCTGTTTTTGGCCAACGGCGCAGTGTACGGGGAGATACGCGGAGAGAAGGGGACGGGGGCACGGCAGGCTAAGCAAGCTAGAACAGGGTTTATGCAGAAGCCGACGTAGGCTTGTCAGCAACGTGTACAGGAAAAAGGTTGAATGTAATTGCTAATAGTGGTGGGTATAGTGAGGCTGCGCATCAGTCTACATAGACTGGCCAGTAAAAATTAGTTTTAACGCCCTATATTATTGCTCTCGATATTGTTTCAATAATTTACTGTAGCAAAGGGAACCGTAACAAGACTGCTTACGATAGCATCTCCGCCAGTACCTTATTAAAAATATTCATACAAAAAGAGCACGAACCTATTTATATACTTATTAAGCCCGTGAGAGTCTATGATCTGCTTCGAAGGGTCGCGTGTTTGTAGTTAGGTCATTAGTTAACAAATATCAGTTCTGAATGTCTGATAGAAACTTTGTATACTGCTTGAAGCTAAAAAAAAGGACGCTCATTTATATCATATCTGGGCATTTGTTTAGCTTAACGTTGAGTTCATGATATTACAGAAATCACGGTATTGTTTCGTATGTTACGTCCTGATATTCTGCGAATCAACAGGAGTAGGCGTATGGTAAATTTCATCATCAGATTGACTTTCTCGGTCGTCCTTCTAGATTGGCCTAAGTACGTCCTTTGACCGTAGTGGACGAGAACATGACCGTTACAACCAGCGATGGTCATCGCAAAAGTCGGTCCCAAGGGATCAACTGAGCCATGTGGAGCACATTTTTACCGTAGATTCTGTCGAAATTTAGTACGACCACGAGAGGGCAAGACAGCAACGGTTCAAGCCGCTTCAAGGAGAAACTGTTGAAACGACATGACTGTCTGCATCACAAGCGCAGCTGGACGACAACAGGCACATATTTGGTGTTAGGCTACAGGTCTAGAGGCAGTCTCTACAGTGTCTTAGGCAGGTGGAACTAGGTAGCGAGAGGTTTAAAGTCTACACCTTTCTTTGCTTACGGCAAACAAACAAACAACACGTAGGTTAATTAGACCTTGCAAGGCAACGTGACCCAAAGATTATGATAACTGTATCTAAAATTTTTTATATGAGAGACCATCAAAGGGCAACTGGAATAATCGAAAACACTAATTGATTTTGTCTCAACATTTTTTTAGAAGTTGTCTTTTTTTTTTTTTAGGATTTAGAAGAATAGTTATTTTTTGGAAAAATTGCGAAATGCCATTTTATTTCTAACGTGGCACATTTCGTTCGGCAAAAGACAATGCTTCCATTGCTCGCTATTTGCTGTTTATTATCATGCTATTATACTCGGCTGAACGCGTAGATTCGTAATTTTTTATGCTGTATAAGTTCATCTGATCACCATAGTTGACTGTTAGCGAATTTTCTGGAAAAAAACGGTGGCGGTCACAGGCGGTACAGTCATCTGAATATACTTCAGCAACGATCTATAACGAACAAGGGCATGTTCAATTTCAGTAGCATCTTGGACAATGTATGCCGAAGTATTGGGAATGAAAATTCTACAATGGAGAGGAACTTGCATCAAAGAAGCTATTCGCTTCTTTATGGTTTAGACCAGGTTTAGCCCTTAACAGGTTCGATCAGGCCGAACGCAAACATTCATTCTTTCTTTCTTTATGGTAAATCTGTGATGAACGAAACTAGTGATCGTTGCTTTACGGAATATATCTATTCTCCTAGTACACAGGCCATATGGGCCAGAAAATTCACACGAAGGAAACCGCTAGTTGATGCGGTTAGACAGAGAGTTTGTTGTTCATTACAATCCGTATCTCTTTCGTCACATTCTCTCAAAGACACGTAAGCAACAAACAGACCATTAAGGTACTAGGAAGCATTAGCTGGCATTTGCAATTTGACGAGCGTTGCCCTGTGGATCTTTGATTGTTATAGAGGTCATCTTGGAACAAAACACACGAACACGTGTACATCGAATCCTAATAAACCACGCTCTATTTCTCTTATAGGTTGTAGTGCAAAATTTTCTTGATATCCAGTATGTAAAAATACTACATAATGGACTAACTGCATTGTATTGTGGTATAATTCACCGTTTATGGTGGAGGTTACTGTATGGTGTCTATATTTACTCATAAGCATTCTCACAGACACGATGGCACTTTTCGACGTTCGTGCACGAAATGGTACGATCGAAATAGTGAATAATTTCGTTAATAGGTTCATTTTTCTCGTTAATGTGGCATAATTTCAAAACCAGTATTACTATTGGCTTTGCTGTGAACCTGCGCCTTCTGTCTTTTTTCTGTTACAGCGCGCTGCTCCTCCTCAGTGTCGGGCCGTAAGCAGGAGCCAATATTGCCGCTTGGACGCATCCTTCTTTAGTACGAGACATTTCCGAATCATTCCACCGCCCGGCTTTAGTTCCGATCGACGGTAAGGATAATCGAAACGTTAAATCCGTTAAGCCCTGTTCATGAAGTCATGAACCGAAGGCCAAGGCCTCGTTGATAAGAGTAGCGGAAACGTTTCGACTGGGTACAATGGCACACTAAGAGCGTTGTTCCTACACGTCAGTCGTCTCTTCTAAACCCAAACCAACGACTGGAAGAGTAGTGCGGCTAGGACATATTCCTGCAAGCTGGACGGGGACCCGTCGAATGGCCCATGGAATTGGAACGAGCTAAAAATAAAGAGTTAACGGTCAGGATTGATTTCTGTGATGGCTTAGAGACGGGAATGTTCAAAGCACACTTTCAGCAGAAACATTTGGTAGATAACTGCCGTTAATATTAGATTTAACTTGGACTTTAAGTTTAAGTCACACATGTGCATTGCAGTCTTATTAGTAACGAATTTAAGATGCCCGCTTTATGCGTACTTGTTGGCGATTATCAGGAAAAGCCAATAGAGATTCCCCACGGAATAATCTGATGAACGGCCCCAAGCAACTTGTATAGACGCTGGCGTTAGTCACTTAGCTTTACGACACGATTGAGAGGGTCTACACTGCGGTCATGATTCATACTACTCGCGTACCACAATTGATTTTCTAATCACTGCTCGTACAGGAATTTTATAACCTTTGTTAGTACCTACATTGGTAATCATACGTATGTAAACGAGTTGGCGATTATATCGTGGTCATGTCTACAACGAAAAGTTCACAGGGGCACGAAGTTCACTTTCATTTTACTGTCTAGTAATAATATAGTACCCATTAGAGTGCTTCAGCACTTGCTAAGTTGTGACACACAATCTGCACACCGGAATCCTAGCTCGTGCAAGCAATGCCCCAGGAAACGTTTTACGCACTGACGCATCTCACACGAAGCACGAGGTCCTGGTCTTGTGACTCGAATGCGCTTGACGATGTCGCTTTTTCGAAACGGTCAGTCAGCCATCGGGAAGATCTCATTGGAGCCCAACAGTAACTTTCTTGCTCTTCGAATTGCCCAAATGCCGCTCATACTATCGAGTCAGTTCCAGCTGATTGGCGTTGTTTTCTTCGGCGCAGAAACCTGACCATGTCGTGATCCGCGATTATGGCACGCTGCAGCAGCGGCTCCGTCTATACTCGCTCACTTTACTGTAGTAGTAGCAGTCAATTACTGATAGAAAAAAAAAAAACGCCCGGAACGTAGCTATAGAGAAGACACACATTGATGCTTGACACATGCACAGGATGAAGGAAGGCATGTCTACGCAGAGAAAGTAAGCACTATCTCATCACCGTGTTGCGGCCAAACTTGTACCATTGTTGTAGTAAGACCATCCATGTTGGGGCTGATAGTGAAGATGCGTCGCTTGCTGCATCGCTTCGCAAAGAGGCATCGTTCTGTCACACACATATAGAGACATATATTTATTCAGAATCTCGTTCATCAAGACGTCTGTGCTGCCTTTGTCTTTGGCTACTGTGTTATAGACAACTGTCGAATCAGCAGCGATCGACGCTGGGCGTTATTACGGAGAGGCACCATGACTAACAGTCGCGAATTTTTGTTGAAGTTACCGATTGGTGCAGGTTAACGATGTCTGGAAAGGTAGTGAGTGTACCTTTTCCACATTTCTCCATCTCCATCATCCAGCAGTATCAAAATGTCTGGCTACTTAAGACAAGCCGAGTGATATTTTTAGCATCGAGCGTAATTACTATGGACACAATCGTCCAAGATTTTTTTATATGTTAATTACCACTAGGTACGATGTAAAAATGGTCATTGTTAAATAACCTGGCGGTCAAGATTATCTCAAGAAGAAAGGTGAACTAATCTTCCACGTAAAGCTTTATCCTGATCTAATGCTCTTGAGTATTTATGACACTGTGCAATCAATGAGCCTCTTATGATGTCTGTAAGCTCCTCAAGATCAACGAATCGAAGTTACCAGGGCCTAATATATTGGCACATTTGACAATGTTTTAACTTATGTGACATAGGGTTCACCAACGCGTAGTGATGCTGGCCTATTCGCAGGTTGATCTGGATCGATATAGATCGTTTAAAGACATGCTAAAGCGAGAACACTACTCCCATTGTCTAATAACTGTCGAGAAGACAAAGAATGCGTATTTTTTGCCATATCCAGAAATCGATCAACATTTGACGGCCGTTTCGCTTAAGTAAAACTTGTGTTGTCGGTATCTTTCGTTAAATGGTTGGGACTTTCTCAGTCACAGATGAAAGTCGGCCAACAACCGCGACTGAAGATCAGTCATACTACGAAACTAGCTATAAAGCGCTCTTAGGTTACCCAGCTAGGAAGTTTACTAATACATCTGTCGTATTATTACCGAAGGAAGTTCATTTACGGTGCATACAAGATTTAAAGCGTAAATCATCATCATCATCATCATTCCAGGATGCACCGTGAAGACTTTTGCGTACATTCTGCCCTAGTCTAGACGTAGCGAACGTCAAGCGTCAGGCTGATGTTGGGTACATAATTTAAAAACGTCTCGATTACCTTACGAGCCGTTTATCTGTCGATTTTTTCCTGGTAACAGAAAAAACAGTAGTATAAAAAAAATTATATGTTTATTAAATCAAACGTGAACATCCTTCCAGATACGGCAATAAGAGACAATATGCTGTAATTTTCTCTGCTAAGAAGCGAAAACAATAAGGGGAATTCTGTCCACTTTACGGTGGCTACTTTAAGTTTTCAAGTTATTTTTTCTTCTCCCATCTTTACACAATAGAATGGTCTGTATCAATGAGAGACTGCCGTTGGCTAAGACTAGCGTTGTTTAGCTATACTAAAGGCATTTACCAGAATAACGAAAGTACTTGCGTTTTCTAAATTCGTTTTAGTCTCGCCCCCATTTTTCTTGGTGCGTGAATCACAATTGGCATAGTAATGTACGTAACGTCTAGCGTAGAGGTGCGAGTCGTCTAAATATTGTTAAATGCCCCACGCTGATAATTATGGCGTGGGTTAAATGAGTTACGGTGTATACGATAATAATACATGCGTTATAGCCACACTTGGAAGCAATGAGCCAAAGAAAATGAAGCTGACCCATTGCAACTAGTTAGATAAAATGTTTATTCCATTCTGGTCCTGGTTTATTTTCCTGGTTGCTATTGTTGCGGATTCTGGTATTGCTGTTATTCTAAATTAATTAACGCGATGAAACATATTTATGAAATAGAACATAGAAGTGTGTGGATAGTGTATGTGGATAGTGAAAGTCAACCCGCTTACAGAATCCCTTCATAAACAGACAGACCAGCGTTACCCTTCTTGGTTTTCGGGGCTGTGCTTGTCGTTTTCTTTATTTAGGGTATACCACCGCAGGACAAATACACACGTTTACTTTAGGCGTTCAACGGAACGCTTTTCAGGTAGCAGTTGTCGAGTTAGCCTACGCGAGTATCGCTAGATTGTCAAGCTTGCTGCCTTTGTCTTACCCCTTCTCTCGGTTGAATAACTTAACGCAGGTCTTCACCAATACTCACAAATATTTAAAAACACGACATTAATGTATTTATAATGGTCATATCGCTTCCTGAACATATCTCTACTGTAGCCGAAAGGATCCAGTGTCACGTGTCCCGCTGTGTGTAAATGTGTTAAAAAAAAAAGGCTGTTACGATAGCGTACTCTACGCATTCCACCCTAAGAAATATCGAACTTTTCTAACTCATTAAGCAATCGAACCTGTTTCGCAGACAAAGTGAACAGAGCCCAGAGTCAGCCAAGCCAGTGGCGGTCTTAATTACCGTTAAAGTAAGGCGGCGGCGGCGGCGACGACGACGACGACGATGACAGCGGCTAGCGATTCAAACGGATAAGTTCATTCTGTAGAAGTTAGATGAGCTACATCCTTTGTTTGGAAGAAAAAAACGACTGGACGAATCAGAAACCTAATGTCTTCCCACTTTGATACTGCCTTAACACCCTCCCTGGTACGCCGATGTCAATAACGCCACCGACGCCGTTGGACCTGACAACACCGCAGTAAACTACGATCAATGACGTTTTCAGAGCCAACACTAGTATTCAACCCAGATGGCACAGCATCTCACGAGTAATCATCGAAACAATATGCTATCATAAAATCTATTGGCAATAATAACAACGACGACACCGTTGGCAGCGACGACAAACATCCTTCTACGAAAGAACGAAGTAGAAGAAAATAGGTCTTCTATTATTCGAATGGCTGGTTATTGCATCTTCATTGCGGTTTGTAGATACCATTTATTTTGCAGTTCTGCTCGCTCCCTTATCTTTTTGTCTACCAGCCTTTTCTTTGTAAACGTAGCGTAATGCCAGAAAACGCGCATTTAAACGGATCTTAGGTATTGAGCCCATGCTGAAAGGGGAGTACATACACTTTCCTCAGAGGAGATAGCGTCCTGTCGTTTTTTTCTCGTTGGACGCTTCTTTTGATGTCTGGCCAGACGCCATGAGAAAAAACGCGGCAAACTACTAGCAGAACCTGTACTGTTTATGCTGACAGGTAATGGCCACTGTGAAATGGATCGCTTTGCAAGTAGAATGGAAAGAAAACATTGAAAAGACAAGTGACATTTACAGGACGAGGCGCGCAATCCAGCACGAACGATGCTGGCAGGAGTTCAGTCTAACTAGGATGGTTACTAATACTTGGGTAAAAACAAAAGGCACGTACTTGAAAGTACGAGGCCAGTTCTTTGGTCGGAACACACATAGAAGATACGGCGGGCTTCCAACTGTCAAAAATAAAGCTGCCAGCCAATGGTCGTCACGCGAGTTCGCTGTTAATGAGTACCCTAAAAGTCTAGTCGTGGGGTATCTGGACGCAGTACATTATACGGGGAACTTTTCCTACATGATATCTACTTGCAAGTGCCAAATACAGTAAGCCGCTATATCTGAGCATACGTTTCAAACATTAATGCCGGGATTGCAACGCACTGATACTAACTAACCAAACTGAGAGATATATGGATTTTTAATAGCCAATTATTATATCGGCTTGACTTAAATAAATATGCACAAGTCTAGTGTACTTAATTAAGATACAGCTTTTTCATAAATAGCTTTTCTGTTACGAAAGAAGCATTTAAAAGTTCTATACCAGCATTTTATTCAAGATCTACGATGAAATATACAGGGTCCTAAATTAAATGCTTCCGCATTACATCACGATCCATCCAGTTAGATATAGCATTATATGTAAAACGGAACCCGGTTTGTTTAGAAACTGCTAAATGACAACGTTTTCATTGTGTCATTCAAATGATACTCAGCTCGACCCCCCCCCCCCCTTAAACGTTACAGTGGTACCGAAGGACACTTTGTATCGCACGGAGTATGTTTCCCTAGTGAACGAGCGTTAATAATCATTAGTAGTGTACCTGCTATTAATATTCTAGCATTTTAAGAAACGTCGACGTTCCCCTGTCTGCTAAGTGTGAAAGGTCGGCCCTTTTGAGACTCCTTGAAAACAGGTATTTCGTTTCGACCATGTTCTGAGCGGCAGCTGCTTTTGCTGTTACAATAGAACAGAACAGAGAAAATCGAAGCACCGACAGCTTCAAAGTGACGAGTTACCATTACACTTTTAACCAGGACACACATTGACGGGACAAGTATGATGCTAGAAACGATACAAACCGTCCACGGATGGCTGAACTTGTTAGCGGTGGCCGCGATGGCTCGGCAAAGCGAGTTGTCAGCTTGCGTATTTGGCGTTCCGTTACACCGGCCATTGGACAGACAACAAAACAGTCGGAAGGGAGGGCAGCTATCGCATATGTTGAAGATGTATAACGATTTCTACTTGAAAAAGCACTCACTACCACGCAACAAGACCGTATAGACGACCACAAGCAGTACCGTCATTGGCTACATGAACTCCACTAAGAGCTGAGTACATGTCTAATGCTATCATAATAATAACGACGACGACAACGACGGCGGTACGGAAACCGAGGATAGTATTAATGGATGACGATCTTAAACAACGAATTTTACGCTATAGGCAAAATATAATTTTTTAGAGGGGAATCTCAACATGGAAAAATTGTTATGCGTATCGTTCTGCTTACCCATGCAATGTGTTATTAAAAGCCATTCATTGAAAAATAGGGGTTAGAACATGGGTTCGAAAGTGAAATAGTTTCGAGACGAACATGTATAGCTTATACTCTGAATGCCCTCTCATGATATTCTTGTTTTTATTTTACGTCATGGCTGCATACGGGTTTTTCTGTCAGGAAGAGCAACGCTGCGTGAAAAGTTGGGTCATAACCCATCCCGAAGCGAGCCCTAAATGGATTTCATATTTGTATTCATACTGTGGCTTATTTACTGACCAAGGAAACAGCACGTACGTACTGCACTAAAATGATTTGCGGTTCAATGCTTTGCATCCGTTGTCTTCAAACGCTTCACTTCTAATCCACTTCCGTTTTGGGTTCCAGGACGTGCCTGTCTTTCTTACCATATTACCATACGGACCAATATAGTCTAATAGACATATCGGCTATATATATATGTAATACTAGGCTTTGGCTGTTGCTACGGTATAGTCTTGCGAGTAGTATTAGTCATAGGTTCCAGTGAAATATGCAGTAATCCCGTCGCTATATAGTATTAAGGACAACATCACAACTGCTCTTACCTCCATCCTTGTAATCATAGTTATAATAAAAATCACATCAGACAATGCCAGAAAGATAAATGATGAAGGTTCCTATAATAACAAGGTATATCCTATGATTCTAATTAA